GGGCACGCGGCCCCGGGCATGCAGCTATGGGGGGGCGCCCCCAGGCATGCGGCTTTGGGGGGGGCGCCCCCGGGGCGCAAGTGTCCCCGCCCCCTGGCCCCCGTTGGGCAAACGGCCACGCCCCCTGGTGCCCGGCAACCTCAAATGGTTGGGGACCACTGGTATACAGTAAATAGAACCTTATGTACGTAGTCAAGTGAAAAAATCTAAAACTGCTGAAATAAGATTTAAGGTAGTGAAACAGACAATAGAACATTTAAAAAGAGATTGTATCTTCTGCTCCTAATACTTATTTCAATCTATTATGTGCATGAAACCTTTTATGTGCAAGATATTACCTTAAACTGGGAAAACGTGATCTCCAGTCCTGACCTTTTGGGGTTCATTTATTACTTTGCAGCTTTCAAGAAAATCTCTAGTTTTGAAGCATTTTGGTTCTCTAAATCCAAATACTATTAATGTTCTTGGAAAGGATTGGGTCCGATCCTGTCATCTGAGGAAGTGGGTTATACTCACAAAAGCTCATGATACTATCTACATGTTTTCTTAGTCTTTAAGGTGCTACTGGACTATTCATTGTTTTTTTAAAGTTTTTCCTATCTGTAAGGTAACTTTGAATACACTTGAGAGAATTAAATGCCATTCAATCCAACTCCAGCGAATACATCTGGGTTTTTTTTCCACTAGCATCCACATTGGATCTAATGAAATTAATTCATTGTGATTCTTCCATTGACTTCAGTGACATTTAATTTCAAAGGGATTCATGACAATGTTATGAAAACTGTGGCTAGGGCAAAGACGATTATATCAAGAACACTCTTAGGCTACTTGCAAGTAGGAATAAGAGATCCTCCGGAATAGGGCTTTATTCCGGAGGATCGCGCCAGTCTGGACGCTCTTTCCCGGCTTTTCCCCAAGCCGGAAAAAAAGCGGCGGCCATGTTTATTTAAATCCCGTGGGGGATATTTAAATCCCCCACGGATTTCCCTATTCCAAAGTTCTAAATTAGCATGCCTATTCCAGAGAAGGGACCAGTGTAGACGTAGCCTTAGAGTATTCATTTTGTTATGGTACAAGCCTCTGCCTGTCATCTTTGTCCTTTTTTGACCCATGACATCTGCTTGTAGGGATAATTAGAGTAAAGGAAAGCACTTCATAAATGACTCCACCTATTTTGTGTACAGTAATAACTCTTTTAAAAAAAAAAGAGCTGTTTATATGCTGAGAAATTGCACCAAATTTTAGCCAGATAGATTATTCCATTAAGGATCAGAGAGATGTAGAAGAGCATATTAAAGATTTTTTTAAAATGTGTAAAGAGTTACCTGGTCTCTCTGAAGAATAAAAGTATACTTTTATTAGTCTGGACTATTTTTGGTGGTAGGTGATATTTTACTGACAACTGTAGTTAAGCTTGAAAAGCATTTTCTATTATAAATTCTTGTTTGAAGTTACATATAAGTTTGTCAAAGTTATGCTATTAGGGATGGAAATTTCCATCTTCTTTGTTGAGAACCTCGCCATTCTGTGGAACAAGGGCTCAGAGCGGTCACTTGGAGTAAGGGTGTGATGTCAATTTGCCCTTCTGATAAAGAAATGTTTGCATGTAGCCAAGTTATAAGCCTTTTAAAAAAAATCTGTTCAGTAGAGACTTCTTAGGGCTTGACAGTTACATTCTCTGACGCTTGCTCAAACCTTTCACAGCTTTTATATATCAAATGGACTGTGCATGTGTACAGTTAAGAGTGATTGAAACATGCTCCATCCCAGGGCCTGCAGCAGCTGAATAGACTTTTTTTTTCCCGTTTCTCAATTGTCTCTTTGAGTTGCTAGAGGAGGGAGAACAGTGTTGTTGTGGTGTTTTGGGGTTTTTTACACTCTGCGTTCTCTACTGGATGTGGAGAGGAAGGGGAGTAAGCCTGACATGAAAGCTGAGGGGTGGAGGGCCGGATGGGGTAGTAACTGATTAGGGGTGGAGTTCCAGAACAGATTCTGGAAAGGAAGAGGGAGAAAAACATGGTAGAGAACTAGAACTGGGCAATGGGAGAATAGGAGCGGCAGAGTCTGTAGCAGAGCAGGAGTCATGGTGAGCAGGATCTGGGAGGAATAGCAGCCATAGCAAAAAATTGGGGACTGGGTGGATAAGAGCAGAAAGGGAGAACTAGGTAGAAGGAGAGGAATGTGGTAGAAGGGTTTGTAACCGTTAAAGCACACTCCCCTAAAGGAGCTGGAAAAGAATCCATTTGTGACTGAGTCTCAACATTTCTTTGTTGTCTAGCAGCCAGATGTGAAACCCACTGGTAAAGTTCGTTTCCATCTCACTCTAATGGCAGGTTCCTGTACATTTATATCTTTTTAAAATGTAGGTACTTATTTCAGAAGTACTATGCTAAAACATTTAGGTTGTAAAGCCAAACACTGAGAAATTAGGAAATGCCATAATTGGGTTCCAGGTGTAACCTTAATTTGATGCCTTCTGTGTATGCATTATGACTAAGGATTTTAAGTATCGTGTAATTGACTATTAGCATTT